GGTTCAGCCTGACTGGTTTAACATACAAACGCCATTAAAATAAATAAATAAATAAATAAAAAATAGATAAGTCTTGTTTGTTTTATTAGGATTACAATGTTTAAATCGGTAACACTTTATTTTAAGGTGTCCGTGTTACACGTTACATGTACTTACAATTAGAATAACAATTAATTATGCATAATTGCATGCAAATATCCCTAAGCCAAACCCTAATCTTAACCCTAACCATATAGTAAGTACATGTAGTTAATTAATATTACTCAGTACTTATATGTATAATTACACAAGGACACCTTAAAATAAAGTGTAACCTAAAAATCTTTACTGAAATATGTGTATTTGAGAACATTATTGATGTTAATTCATAAATAGTAGATTTCTGCAAGTTAAATGACTGCCAGTTACAGTAACTTGTTATTTCAGCCAGATCCTGCCTATTTCCTTGCCAGTCGTTGTGCTGGTCATGATGTTTCTCAAAAGTGAGAAACATCATTACCAACACACACAATATCTTAAATCCACAAAATTACACCAGATGCACAAAGATACATTTGGTTGATCTGAGCCATGGTCTAGAATTTGAAAAGACTAATTTTTGAAGATTTCAAGTAGTAGCCCCAATTGAAGAATCACCAGGCTCTGAAAGCATGCTTGATTGTCAAATGGTTTTTGAGTATAGAAAGAACAAACCGCTCATGACTAATGACTACAGATCAAACCATTTGTACCAATGGAAAACATTTTGAATGTAATCCACAACTGCTGACCTCAACTCATTTTATTTAAGACTCATAGTTAAAAAAACCCTACAAAAAAGCTCTCAAGCTCTTGAAGAGGTAATGGTAATGTTATCTGTCTATCTGTCTGTCTATCTATCTATCTGTCTGTCTGTCTGTCTATCTGTCTGTCTATCTGTCTGTCTATCTGTCTGTCTATCTGTCTATCTGTCTGTCTATCTGTCTGTCTGTCTGTCTGTCTTTTAATATTCCACAAATAGGAAGGTAGAGGGATACCCAGGGGTCAAGGTTTGGCTGGTTCGCATAACTCAGTTAGCCCATGTTGGATGCCATAACTAGACAATGTGTGCATCGTTTCCCATTCATGGCCATTCAAATGTTGGCATGTATTCTAACGATCAGGACTCTCATGTATTCCAGAGAGACGTGTGATAAACAAATACAAATATTTATTTCCATGTATTTTATAAATGTAATTATGGTAAGACACCACAGATGAATAGTGTTTAAAAATGCAACTAATAGATATTGCAGGTATTTAATCTCAGTAGGTTAAGAAATGTATTTTTGTATTATAAGTTTTCTGAAAAGTTATGTGTAAATATGCCAATGTGGTATTATCTAATTAAAAATGCACTAATATTTCCAGAACATGATGTTGGATAAAGCCTGGTTTTTAAATGTTCATTTTGTTGACCTTTTCTTGAAATTAAATAAAATAAGATAAAATAAACACTTGTTTTTGTTCTACTAGTTTGAAATAAGACAAATAATTGTTTTGTTATGGAAGCAAAATAGTCCAAAAAAATTCGAAATTCGAAAGTGCTTTGTCTGAAGTGTCTTGCCTTAAAAAAAATTAAAAAAGTGCATGAAAAATTTGAAAAGCAATTTAGACAAAGGGCTTGCTGGATTCTCACTAATATTTGGTGAGACAGCACTACAAAAATAGGGGGTTAAATATGACTGCCATATAGTAACATTGAATTACTGCAGCATAGTTTTTATCAGTGTATGTTTCTTACATTGTATGTATGTATGTGTGTATAGTTTGTGTATGTGTGTGTATAGTTTTGCACTTGGCATTCATTGTGGACAGCAAAGAAAGAATTTCATTGCTCAGGGAAACTTGTTTTCGTCACTGGGCATATGACAATAAACGCTTTGAATCCTTGAATCAGTGACTGTGGATGTTCCCACTAAAAGAAAATTCCCATCTACTAATAAACTATCCCGCGATTAAAAAAACAAAAATGTAATGCTCTAAACCTTTTAAATTGTTTAGATGTCATTTGATATAAACACTGCATTGAGGGAAATTAGTACAATTCCCACAGTTTCATCTCAAGTCATTTGAAAAACTTAGTAGTAACCCTGTGAGAAAAAACACATCATTGTTATATATGGTTAAGCTGCCATAAACCTTGTTTGAAAAGACAAACAAATCCGCGTTGCAGCTGAGTGTGTCAGAGTCAGTTATCATCTGGATGCTCTCTGCTTGTCTACATTTGTTCTCCATCTTAAAGACAAACACAGTGTGCGCTAAGAAGTCGTTTTTTTTATTCCTTCAAATGGCATCACAGCGCCCTGAGGTTCCCCTTGAGGTTATCTCAATCTGTCCATAAGATGAACTTTGGGGTGGTGAAGTGTTTCAGATGGGGGTGGAATGTACTTTCCTATTTGTTTTCAGAGCTTGTAAAGCTAAATGGAAAAGTGTTTCTCAGATCTGAGTGATTCAGAGCAACGTTTCAGGAGTAGAAGCTCGTCAGTATCACATTTTTGCCGAGAGCAGAGAACAGAGGGGAGGGAAGTTCCTGGAAAAGAGCACAGCTGCTGTGAGCAGGCAATTCAGACTAGATCATGTAACACATGTAAGGATCTGTTTAGAAGTACATTTGTTTCACAAATAGCATTTAACACCACTGGCTTACAAAACTTAATTTACATGCATGCATGTGTGAGATGAGGCTCTTTCGAAAAACATACCAATGTGGTGAAATGCAAAAAAACAACAACCTTAAACCGACCTGGTCTTACATGATCTCTCAGTCTGGTTAACCTGGTATGGTTTGCTGCTTTTAGAAAGGTCAGGTCAACCAACTAAATGGCAGCTTAGCCATGCTGATTAAATAAAAAATAAAATAAAAACCCATTATACAGTATTATAATATTATGTAGTTCAGTTATATGTTAATTCTACATATTTGTTTAGGTAATATATTATTAAGGTGCATGAATTAACAATAAACAATATTATGATAAGTATTATATATAATACATTTATATTAACCTAGATTATTAAATGTTAAAATAATTTAAACAAGTTAAACTAAATTAAATTAAAACAAAAATTAATTTAATTAAAAAATAATTTAAATTAAATTATTAATAATACTTCCCATTATAATATTATTTAGGTTGGTTATATGTTTAATTTACATACACTAATGTATTTAAGTTCTATCAAATATTATTAAATAATATATTATTAACAAACATGATTTAACAATAAACAATAATATAATAATAAATTAACTAACTTCAATTAATAAATGTTGTAAAAATGGTTGTTTTTAATTCATGATATAATGCATTAAGTAATGTTAGATCATTGAAATGTATTGTACAATTTAATTTAATTTAATTTAATTTAATTTAATTTTGTTACGTCTCTGGATGTATTGTTTGTGTATTATGTTTGGGGATTGTAAATAAGATTGTTGCTATGTTTGTACTGGTGTTTTGTTTCTCTTCTTTTCCTTCTCATTCCTCCATGCCTTCAGCCAACAGGTATTAACGACTACCACCTGATCCCAGTTACCTTGTTGGGTCTTCTGGTGCGTTCAAGTCATGTTGGATAGATCGTATTTACGAGTTGAACGCACATGAACACCACCACAAAGTCGTTATTACGAGTGGGAAACTCTAAATTTTCTTTAAGCCCAGAGTTTCCGAGTTGGGGGCGTGCCAATGAGAAAATCATGGCAGAATCGATGGATGCAACGTCTGTAGTTGACGGTAAATTTTTGTTTAAATTTATAGTTTAGTTGTCCTATAAACTTAAATTGGTCATGTTCTTGTTACGCAGCTGAAATCCAAGTAAAAAAAAATGCAGACCCTGTTGTATTTTCTTGTAATTCATTAAAAGAAGGTACACCGCTATCTTGTGCTGACTAAACTGACTTGAACGCACCTGACGTCGTAATTACGACTTGTCAACTCTTAAGTACGAACGTCCCAGGAGGACTTGAACGCAGCATTCTACCTGTTGAGATGACTGGAAGGATGAGATATAAACCGTCACTGCTCATTGAGAAGGGAGAGAGACAGAACTAAGCGTGTTCAGAGGAGAGGGTTCCTTTCTCTTGCCCAGACCTACTTGTTGTGGATGTTGCTTACAATGCTGGATTGAATCTGTTGTATGAGTATGTGATTGGTGTGCTGTGTGCCACCCAGTGTTAGATTGAATCTGTTGTATGATCATGCGATTGGTGTGCTGTGTGCCACCCTTTGTCAAATTGTGAAGTAATTCAACATATTGTAACAAATTACTACTTTTTGAGTAAGGAGGTGGGTGCCAACTTTTGTTTTTGATAGTTTTCTCCTGTTTTTGATTTAGTAAGGGAGAGAGGGAAGTTCCTTGTTCATTAATTTGCTTCTTTTAAGCAGGTAAATTAGTAAGTCTGGTCACATGGCAGTGTTTGGAGCCTTGGAAGAAGAATGGCCAGCATCTGAAAACTTGCAGTGATGAGAAAGCACCAATGAAACCTTTGGCCACTCCCTGATGGAGAAATAAAGTACAATTTATCTCAAGAAAT